CATAGTAGCCAGCTCTTTAATCACTTCCTCCTGGCAAGGTGGCCTAACTAGGCCACAAAGAAAGAGGATCCACACAGTCCTAATGAGACCTGATAGGCTAGGGTCAGATCGTAGGGGAGGAGGACCGCCCCTTTCAGTGGACTAGGGAAGGGACATAGAGAGAAAAGAGGGAGGGAGGGTGGGACCAGGCGGAGATGAGGGAGGGGGCTACAGCCTGGCTATAAAGTGAATAAACAGTAATAAATAATAATAATAATAATAATAATAAACCAAAATAATTAAAATAAAAAAGCAGGCTGAATAACCAATGGAGAGCAAGCTCGTAAGTATCACCCTTTGTGGCCTCTGCATCAGCTCCTGCCTCCAGGTTTCTACCCTGTTTGAGTTCCTGTCCTGACTTACTTTGATGGTGAACAGCTATATGGAAGTGTAAGCCAAATAAACCTTTACTTTTCCAACTTGCTGTGGTGATGTGTTTCATCACCACAGTAATAAACCTGACTAGAACATGCCCGCAGGGAAGTGGAGCCCTTACCCCTCATCTAAGATACTTCTTTCTACAGCAGGAAAAGACTGTTAAAGATACACAACTGTAAATGCAGTAAAAAAGCAGACCATGGAGACTCAACCCCAGCTGGAAACAGCTACAACAAGCCCCATAGACTGAAGGTTCAAGGAGCATCAAAACACACAGGGCAGAGAGATGAAAAGAGACAGAGGACCAGGGTGTATACTTCAAGACAATGCCCTCTGAGTCTTAGAGGAAAGCTACCTGCATGAATCCTAAGTAACGTGGCCACCTAAACAAGACCTGAGTAATGACATTGGTTGACATGCTAGCTTGAATGTGGTAAATCGAACATGGCCCAACCCCTAGATGAAGAGCAACAGGCAACCAGGATATTGAAAGAGGATGAATTAGTCTTCTTTATAGATAAGATCTAATCCCTAGTTATCAGCCTTAAACACATGTATATATATGAGCAACACTAAAGGGATTCAGCCGGTTTTGTGTGTGTGTCTGTGTGTGTGTGTGACTTAGTGTATAAAACAACAATAATTAAAAAAAAGGTCATAAGTCTGAAATTGGTTGAGGAGGACACAGGAGTTGTTGCTGGGAAGGAGGAATGATGATGGAAATTATGTAGCTGCAAATAATAAACTGATCAAAATTTTAATTAATTTTTAAAAATTGAATGGAATTATTTTCTTCTAAGTAACTCTAGAATAAGTTATTTTCTCATTGCCATTACTCTGCTTCAATCTTCTCTTCCCTACATATAATAGCTAAATAAAACCTCACTAAAGATGGTATAATAACACCAAATTAATGAGAGGGTGATAGATTGTTTTTTTCTGATTGTTTCAACACAAAAAAGGCATTGAAAATTTTATTTATAGATACTCTCTTCCTCATTTTATATCTACTACTGTGAGCTGATATGCACATGTCAACAAACACACAGAGAGAAAGAGGAGGAAGGGGGAGAGAGAGTTTTAAAAACAAGGACAGTAGGCCTAGGACGCTATTTCTCACTTGGTTGCCCAGGCTGGAATCAAACTCAGGGCAATCCTCCTATCATTGACTCCTGGGTACTAGAATTAACAGATGTGTGAGTCATGATGTCCATCTTATGTCATATTTTCTATTGAGTTTTCTAAAAAACAGTAATGAGATTCACTTTAGTCGCCTTCATACCAACTGGCAGCTATTCAATTCAAAAACCACAAGAAGCTCTTAAACCAGAAAACAAGGTCACTTGTTTTCTGTAAATATAAGGGTGTTTGGAGGCCCCCAAACACCCACTGAACAACAGTGTCTAAAAGAACAATAATCTTGAGAATCCGGGCATGTTTTATTCTGTGCTCCCTAGATCTAGCTTCCCAGTGTGTAACTTGCTTAGTTGCTTGGAGTGAAGGTCATGAACTAATGGGTGAAACATCTTAAGCATGTTTATTGCATTCTTATGCAAAACATTCAAATGAGCATTTCCTCACTGCATGCAAGAGGTGCCAGCAGTTTGAATGTTGCATCAGTAACTGCCTCTCTGATGTCTCTTTATTTTCCTTTAGGATTCAGGCTGTTAGCTGTCTCTCTCCGACCTACATGTTTCTAGTACCCGTGCTGGTGCCGACTCTAATATATTAGCTGTGTTAGCTTTGATATTGTTTCAGTTTCCAAACCTGTTTACAGCAGGTTTTCAACATCTGTATCACTGCCAGCCACAATCTCACCCACTGTTTTTTCTACTCGGTACTACCTACACCTCTGGCTTTCTGTCTCACACTACTTTATTCTCAAACAAGTCTGCACACTGCACTCTTGCCTTTTATTTGAGCTTGTTAGGTTATTTATAAGTTTGGTCGCCTTCATTTCCTGCTTAAACTATTTGGGTAACTATTTCAGCTTGAAAGGATAGTGATATACTAAAACATATTTTACTATTATGCTAATTCTCAGCTTTGGGTGAATCCTACCACTTACTGAGCAAGAGAACTGAAAGACATACTTTGAGGGAGACTGATACAAGAAAGAGTATACATAGTTTTAAGTAGGGAATCAAAAAGCCCAAGTCAAGAGGCTAGAGAGGTGCATCAAGAATGACAAGTACATATTCAATTTCCAACTGGGCTGAGTTCTGTTCTCAGAAACCATCATTAGGTGGCTGGCAACTGCCTGAAACTCCAGCTACACTCGACCTGATGGGATCTCTTCACCTTGGCTGGCCCCGGAACACAAGTGAAAGACACACAGAAACATGTAAGAACAAAAGCCAACATTCCTAAGTCAAGAAAATCATTAAATAACTCATGGTTATAGTGAGTTAGGGGATTAAAAAGCTAGTGTTAAAGAAAAAGGTTATTCATATAGCATATAAAATAAGACTGTGAGATGGCTCCGTGGGTAAACTTGTTATTGAGCAAGCCTGAGTTGGATACCCACTTCTCACATTAAGGTGGAGGGAGAGAATCAACTTTACAAAGTTATCATCTGATCTATCAGGATCTTGTGTGTGTGCCCACATACATACACACAGTAACATAAAAGACATGGGATGGGTTGGAAGAAAAGCAAATGATGGAATTAAGATGCACATATATGGAAATTTTTAAAGTAAATTTAAAATTTTCAAGATTTCCTGTAAAAACATAAAAAAAAAAAAAAGGAAAGCAAGACCAACTAGATTCAGAATCACAATAGGTACAAACCACTCTTTTGCAGTGTAAAAGAAACGCTGGGCTTGAGCCCAAATGCAGAAGAGAACTGGGAATTGACAGGAAGGGGAGCAATGGAAGACAAATCCAAGGAAGCATCCAGTTACCAGTTACAGAGACTATGGCTAAGCTGATCTCACAGGGTTCTTGCTGAATGCAGAGCGATCAGATAACGTTCTTGAAGATGTGGCAGTAAGAAACCCAGTTATATAATTGAATGTGATCAAACACTGAGACTGCTAAGCTGAGCCAGCAAGATTCTCACTAAATTTGGACAATGTGTCAGAGAATCCCAGAGGCCAAAACTGAGAAATGCCTGGCTAGGGTCCGGTAAAGAGACTCAGTGTCATTTCTTCTTACATAAAATTCTAATATACCCATGTACTTTAATATTTCTTTGAATAGATCTGAATTCAGTGTTCTTTAATTTTGTTCCTATATGATTTTTGTGCTACATAAATACTTACAAGTTAGTGTTAACATCAAACAATGATAAACTTCTCAAATCTGGAGCTGAGACCGGCTTAATTTATTAATGTGTATTCAATATTATTAGTCCACTAAGGATACCACACAACCGATAAACAATGACATAATTTCTGTAATGGTGAACTGATTAGATTATGAATTTATATTTCCAACTAATTTCTTCTTTATTGAATTACTGAGCCTACTAGATTATTCCTTACTTTGCTTATTCTTCCCTAATTTTTCATCTCAGATTAAATTTGATTAATAAAATAGCTGATATATTGGCTACATTAAGGCTGTAATGGTATTTGATGATTAATAATGTTTTTATAGATCAATTGTACTATTAAGTAACATGTTTACAGAACAGAAACTGGCTGCACTAAAAGCACAGAGTCCTCATTTGGGCACAAAAGTTAAGTAGGAAAGGATGAAAGTCCGGCCACTCTGCTTTCAGGTACTGTGTATCTCCCCCTTAGTTTTAGTCAACTGCTTACTTTGGCACCAGGCATGTTAAGAAATCAAGGAGTGCTTTATCTAAAAACCTAAATTATCTCATCCCATTCACTGCTGAAAGCTTGGAGGAAGCAAAGTCCTAGGGAGCCATTACCATGGATGGATTCCTGGAACACCCAAACTTCACACAGCAGACCTCCACCCACTCGAGCATAATTATACATCAGAACGAGGCTGTACCCTGAAGCAAAGGTAACCACTCAAAGCAACCAGACTCATTGTGGCCATAGAAGGCCACGAACACCGAAAAAGAACCTGTTTAAACCAGCTTGCAGAATTGACACAGTGATCAGGACCACACCTTGACTAGGAATGCGTAATTACCCATACCGCTTACCCATGACACAGTTCTTCCTCTGTTTAAACTTAAAACTATGTGAGTACCCTAAAGATGGGCTTGGGGTTATTAGGCTTTTTTATCTGTTCCTCTCAGTGGCCACAGTGATCAGATCTCTCCCCTCTCTGCTCACCAATCCTTGTCTCTTCAGTTGTCACATTGCAGCAGATGCCTGTTGGGACAGCTGTGGCTTCTTCCTAACACTATCATGAGAACAAGCATGTGATTTAACAATTAAATTATTATTTCTAGTATGGTTCTTTACAAAACTAAAATCCCACCACTTCCTACCTACTCAATTTTAGATTTCAAGTAATTATAAGTTATATCAAACATAAAATAAACTGACAATATGCATACTTGATAGGAGAAAGGGAACACCTATTTGTTGATATGTGTGTGCTGGGTGGGGGGGGGATCAGAATAAGATGATTGAAGCTTAAATAATTTTAGTTGTTACCTGAAGAAGCACAGACTTGAACAGGGTGGGAGGCTGGTGCCGACACGTCCTGGGAGGGCAGAAGCAGGGGTACACAGCAGGTTCACAAAGCAGGTAAGGTAATGTCTCAGTCCTGGGAGGGCAGAAGCAGGGGAACACAGCAGGTTCACAAAGCAGGTAAGGTAAGTCTCAGTGCTGCCCTCAGAAGAGTAGGTGAGGCCTGAACAGGTGCAAAGTCCTGCATACAGTCTCTTTTTTCCAAGTTAATGATATTTCATAATTGGCCCCCCTCCCATTAGGAAGACAGTGCCAGATGAATCTACCCCCTGAACTTCAGAAGAGAAAGAAGATGGACACAGGAGGTTATGGAGAAGCAGGCTTCTCATACTTTTGTGTTCCTTTATGCAAGGCTGCCAAACTTTAGAGATTGCAATATTATTTTCTGAGTCCCAACATCCCCATTCTTTGGACTTAAAGGTAGTACAGATCTACTAACTGAAGGTTATGTGAAGTTGTACTTTAATTATCTCACATTAATATTTTTAATACCATCTTCTTTCATATATGTAACAAGTTAAATAACCCATTCATTTCAATAACATCAATAAAGTTTTAAAAATTGAAACAAAATTGCCAAGCCAAGCAAAAAGAAGAAAAGGACCACAAATAGAGCAATAGATTACATCATATGTTCTAATTATAGGTACACTTTATAACACAGTAATATGCTAAAACGTTATGCTGTCTTCATTTTTAATTCAAAAAATTCTTAGAACATACTAAAATTTTTATCAGCAATAAGTAATGTACCTTACTTAAACATGTAACTTTAAATAAGTTAAAAACATTTCTATGTATTAAAAAAATCATTTTTGTCATTAGTACTCTTAAAAAGTCCAGTACTTGCATGAGCTCTTATATATTTATATTTCTAGCCAGATCATAATCCTTCCAAACATAATTCACTCTCTCACAAAGATTAACACTTTGAATTTACATATTCCTGAAATAAACATCTGTTTAAATAAAAAGAACAACCTCCACCAATTATGTTTCTTCCATCTACATAAATAGAAAGAAAAATAATAGATATAACACATAACCATCTTTAAAAAATTGATACACTTAAAATTCCTTATGTCCATCATAAACACATGTAGAGAAACCTCTCTAGGAGCTGCTAACTCATTCTCATGGCTTCAGTCTTCTCAGCCTTCCCCAGGGCTCATCTGAAACAGGGAGACTGTGTCTAAGAACCATGGTCCACACAATCTCATCCTGAACTGCTTTCCCTAGTCCCCGTTCCCTCAGCATCCTTTCCACCGTTCTCCAGAAAAGCACCAAGTCCTATAGCAGGGTCTCTCTCTGTCTCTAGTGTTATACTACAAATAAACACATGGTGTTTAATAAATATTCAACAAACTCAACCCACATCCAAGTCTGTTTCTCTACATATTCATAGTTTAAACATATTTTTCAAAATAAAAATGGTGAAGTTTGCATCGTTAAATGTTATTAAAATTCACTGAGTAAAACAAAAACATTCATTGAATTCATATATCCTGGCTAAAACAGTACTTTAAAGGTTTTTTCACTATTCTAGAAACTTTTTTCCAAACTTATCATAAATTTCTTAAGACTGCTTAAGGTAAGTTAATTAAGTCTGTGGCAAACCCATGTTATAAATGTAAGAGCAATTGTTCCTTTAAAATGATTAAAGATGATATTGGCAGTATGATATTCCTTACTAACTGACTATTAAATATTTTCAACTTATATTTAAAGTCCCATTCATCCATTAAAAGAGAAATTATAACTCATACAAATTTAAAACAATAGCCATCATTGTGATAAAGCAATTCTACTTACTAAATTTGAAGTATCAATTGACTTCATCAGAGGTAGCGATTGTATCATTTTAAATAAAATTCGTTTACCCAAATTTGACTTTTCAATATTTCATTAAATTGTACTTTCAGAGTGCTCTGCATAAAACAACTTCTTACTAATTACACTAAATTATTGCATGTAGCACAGGAATAAATAAATCAGTTTGAAAGTAATTCTGTTATACAATTGTTCTTCATAAACCAGACTTTCTCTGCAATTATGTGTGCTACCTGTAACAATCAGCATTTATATTGAGAGGCAAATTTATAATTATCAGAGTGCACATCTTCAAAGGTGATAAAAAAGTTCAGCTGGCAATCTAAACTCAGTTGGCTAAAGTTCCTCAAACCCAAAATGAACTAAATTACAAGGGTTAGCATGTATTTGACCGTTTAAACTCTTACTGATACTTTAACTCATCTAGCTTTATGTCTCAGTGAATGAACTTATTTATTGTTAAATTTTCACTTTAAAGTACACAACCTTTCTCATTATTTAAATAGCTTTGGAACCAATCCAGAAGCTAAAACTAAGCTGATCCTCTGGAATGTGAACTAATTACCCCAAATTTGCATATTTGCTACACAAGACATATGTTCCATTTGCTTTATTTAAATAGCCTAACATTCTGTTTGAAGTAAGATAGTACCTTCTCAAATACAAACCAAGTAAAAGGGGATAGCTTGCTGTCATTTAATGAAATATTGGATACACATTTGAAAATATGATATAATAAAATTAGTTTTTTTATTTTTTTGAGATAAGGTCTCATGTAGCCAGATTACTCTCAAACTTGTTATGTAGCCAAGGATAGACTTCAGTTCATAATCTGCGTGCCTCTACCACACAAACGCAGGTGTATGTCACCGCGATAGCCAAACTCTTAGTGGTCCAGGCAGTGGACTAGGTAAGCTCCTACATGACTTTTTGTTTCTGAAAAGAAACTAAATTGTTTGATCTTACAATTCGCTCTTTTCCTTTATCTTTCTTCATTATGTTTACTTTCTATATTGTGCTTTATTGAAATAGGTTTTACTATACAGCACAAGTTGGCCTCTAATCCACCGTAGCTCTGCCCTCAGGGTCACATACAAGCACACCAGATACTAATCTTTAGTTTGCTTGTTAGTGCTAGTAAAACTTTATTACTATGTCTAAAATTCTTGGTTCAGAGTGGATAAAGTTTCAGAAAGTCTATCAAACTTAACATCTTGTAGCATTATTAAATCATATAGTATCGGGACAACACATTTGGTAACCTGCCCTCGGAGCACAGAATTCGCCTTCTTACATACAATGGGCAATTTCATTTCTGCCCATTTCTAACTTGAAGAGATTAGAAAAGGTTTCCAGATCACCATCTAAGAAAATAATCCACAATGTGAATGACCTCTATTCTTGCCTAATAGTCCTTCTTTCCTTTCCCCCCACCTCTCTTTCTCTCTCTGGATTAGTAAAAGTCTAACAATTTAGTCTAGATTTTGAAAAAATGAAATATTACAGATTCCTAGCAACAGTTCTGGGGACATCTTTTAAATTATCAAAATAGATTCCATAATATTAATTAGGGAGCTGTAAAGAAGTATCAGTAGTTACGAACATTTCCTGTTCTTGTTGAGAATCTTGAGTTTTGTTTCCTGCTCACAAACACTGAAACTCCAGTTCCAGGCCACCTGACACCCTCGAGTCTCTAAGGGCACCTGCATGCAAGTTGTGCACATACATTCATATAGGCTCATAAACACATACAAATAAATAAATCTTTAAAAACATCAATTAGGGCTGGGCATGATGGTGTAGGCATTTAATCTCAGCCCTCAGAAGGCAGAGGCAGGCAGATCTCTCTAAGTTTGAAGCCAGTTTTTGGTCTATATAGAGAAAGTTCCAGACCAGTTGGGGTTGCACAGTAAGACTTTGTTTCAATATGAATATGTATATGTATTGCATATACATACATACATACAAACGCTTACACACACACACAAACACACACACAGCTTTAAAGTGCTGCTGAAGATGCACAAGTCCTAGGGTTCAATTCTCAGTAGAGAAAACAAAACTAACTGAAGTTTCTCTACACCTAAAGAAAGATATATCCAGCACAAAAACACAGAAACGTTCAAGAACACATGTGTCTCCTAATTAGAAATATACACATAAGAGGCAGGGTAAGCACCTGAGAATTGAAAGCATATATGATCTAGCCTAAAACCCTTTTGTCAAAAGGCATGAGATAATGCATACAATGGTATGTTTATGTCATGCTACCACCCAAAGAAAAGGCGAAATAAAAACCGGTATTGTTGTATCCATGTGTGTTCTTAGCTGAAACCTAGAAATTAAATATAAGGTTACTCAAGCATATAGGCTTTATTAATCTTTGCAATATAGTCCAGAATATACTGGCAATCCAGTTGCCACATGTGTTCATCACTTATTCATATTATGTGAAATGAAGCAATCATTGTAAGCAATATTCTACGCATAGAATATTGGAACATAAAAACAATTTCAAGATTACCACAAATATACCACTTCAGTGATAGCAGAAAATTGGCATTTATTCTCTATATAATATGTGAACCAATTAACTGTGTTCTTTTTTTAAAAATGAAAAATCATGTATGGTTAGCATCACAAGAGTGGCTGGAAACATTTCCTAAGCATAAAACAAACACAAAATTAGCAAATAGCAGCCTGAAAGCATAGAGACTTACTTAGAAGAATAATGTTCAGTTATCTCTTTCAAAATAAAGGTCTGATTCAATTTAGTATCTCTGCTGTTTGGTAGCAGAGCAATTTATATAGTCAAAGTTTATGTTATTTTTCTTTCTCCAATTTGAATATATTTGGGCTCCCACAGGAGCAAACATAAGCTTCCTGGTCTATAACTGCATTAAATCAAACACTTTTAGATCAACCAGTCTTTAACACGTTTAGGGACCATGGCTTGTGGCAGCCATATAACTGACTCCTATACCTATCTAGAATTCATTATTATGTTCAAGAAATAACTTTTTTTTATCCTTTAGAGGCTTTAGAAGTAATACACAATACTGAAGCAAGAATCACAAACAAATCAGTCTGCTAAGTAAAATTTATATCAAAAAGGTACCATTTCCATTCCACAGAGGGAAAAAAAGATTCTGAAAAAAAAATTCAGACACTTTATAAAATTAACTTAATATACCCTTAAGTATTAATTTGTTCTCTGATAGTTCAACAAAAAGCATCTACAGTGTTATTCTACTATATCATCACAATTCCTTTATTCATATCACCACCAATAATGGATGTATCAAAAGCAAGCATATATTTATTACATATTTATTCTATGCTTCCTTTTGATACAACCATTATTTGTAATAATGTGAAATGTAATAATAAAGACTATTACTAAGCATTTTACAGTTATTTTTTTTCTTTAAAAAATTTATCATGCTTATTCTGGTTTCTTTGTCAAACTGACCTAATGGGTTAAGTTCAACTTTCTTTTTCTTTTTTTAAATTTATTTATTTTTATTAATTACAGTTTATTCACTTTGTATCCCTCCATAAGGCCCTCCCTCCTCTCCTCCCGGTCCCATCTGCCCTCCCCCTTCTTCATGCATGTCCCTCCCAAAGTCCACTGATAGGGAAGGTCCTCCTCTCCTTCCTTCTGATCTTAGTCTATCAGATCACATCAGGAATGGCTGCATTGTCATCCGTGGCCTGGAAAGACTGCTCTCCCCTCAGGGGGAGGTGATCAAAGAACAGGTCAATCAGATTATGTCAGAGGCAGTCCCTCTTCCCATTACTATGTAACCCACTTGGACATTGAGCTGCCATGGACTACATCAGTGCAGGGGTTCTAGGTTATCTCCATACCTGGTACAACTTTTATGAATATTGCATACTACAATAAATTTAAAATCAGGTAGTATCTTTCACTGCTGACATACTGCCTATCAGCTGAAACTAAAAATTAAATATTTCAATAGTATCATGTATCACCAACTAACAAGTTCATGAGTTATAGATATTTATACAGACAACGAATAAACTACTACATAACAAATCAGCTAAGGTGAGTTCAGTGCTAAAATTTTAACACAGAACTAATTAGCACATAAAAAATGCTGCATGAGTCAAGCCATCAGTGGCTCAAAAATCTATCATAGAACCCATAAGGAAATAGTTGCAGCTGTCACCAGTTAGTTTCTACATTACAAAGGTATTTGGTCTCTCAAGTGCTGCTTCCAAGAAAGGAGGGCTAGCAAGGCTAGGTGGCTCATGCCTGGAATTCCAGGACTCAAGAGATGGAACAAGGCTGGTGGATTGCCAGTCTATACCAGCTTTGGCTACACAGTAAGTTACTGGCCACTCTGGGCTACAGAATGAGACACGACCTCAACAGTATCAAAAATAAGTGTGCAAATTAATAAATAATTAAATAAATACACATGTTAACATATCACAAAAAAAGAGCTAAGAGTCAAAAAATAACTGGTTTTAAATATAAAGATACACTAAAATCAGTGAGTTCATGGGTTATTCTCTTCTGCTGCTTAACAAAATAACCCAGCTTTTAACATAACAAAATCTCACTCAACATATTCAGCAATGAAAATCTGAGAACAAAACAGTGAGACTTCCCACACTGCTAGGCCAGGTTCCTGAAACGCAGCTCTCACACCAGCCTATTTGATAAGTGCAACTCTTTTGCTTCATCCAAGAAGGGCCTTTCTTCAACAGATTATTGCAGAGGTCACAGTTGGACAAAATGCTGAGAATAAATGACGTGAGGGATCTAGTCCCAAATGATAGATCTACAGCATAACCCATATACCTAAGGCTCAGGGAAAATTGTGTTAGAAGAGGCAGAAATATTGTCAGAACCAGAGGACAAGGACAACTAATGCTGGATAGGAAATGCCAGCCATGACAGCAAAGCTGTCCTCATGAAATTTCAAGCAGGGAATCACCTAACAAGAGCTACATAAGGACAACAGCAGCTGATGGGCCAGCATGAATGTTCACATTTCACATTTCCTGCTCCTAGATGAAGAAACATTTCCTCCAGGGACTAGATCCCTGATGACAGGTTACCCTATACTAAGTGATTATCCTAAACACATGTACATACCAGTAGCAGTGGGCTTTTTTTTTTTTTTTTTTTGGTGTGATGTATGTATGTATGTTATATATATATCTGAAAGGTTTTGGGGACAAAGCACAAGAAATGAAAAATTATAATTAAAGTGTATCTATGATTAAAATATAAAAAATCTTAAGATTTACAGAAACATTATTATTATGTATGTATAACAGATATAAATATCATAATTTTATTCCCAAAAATTCAGTTGACTGAGTGAAAAAGCTCATGACCTTTAAATCTGAAAGCTCTTAACATCATTTCATCTCTTTAATGAGCTTGGAATTGTGTAAAGCAAAGTTTCTTTACTTTGCAAGTGGAAAAATTGAAGTCACAGTCAGGAAAGACACTTTGCACAGGGTGATTCATAAAGTCAGTCTCAGAAGAGTGATACTTACAACCTCAAACTCTAACATGCAAAAGAAATACAAACCACATTTCTGTTGTTTACCATTCAGCCCCCAAGTCCACCTCACCAAGGAACAAAATGAGGGACAGACAAAACAAGCGCAAAGTTAATACAGAAAGGGTCTGAGTAGAAGAGAAGGCTGTGAGTGCCTGGCTAGCCTGGAATTGGTACGTGTGTGAATACTGAGATCACCCTGACCGGTGAAAGAGGAAGATCTGTTTATTGGGGTCACTTCTGTAATGCAAGAAAGAAATACTAGATGAGTTTTCCACTTTAATTCCATGACCCCAAATTCAGGCTATTTGAGAATAACTGAATTAATCAATTCAGGTGGAAAACCATCTGCTCAGAGATGGTCTTCAGTTCTTATTGGACATGAAAACAAAGAAGAAAGGTCAAGGTCAAGGATTGAAGTTGCGGCTAACAAAGTGCATCTTGAGGAGACATAGTAACAGTGTGAGCACATTTGAAAGCATTGTTATTCCAGAGCAAGGATGATAAGGGTCACATTTCCCTCCTCAGGCCTTCTTAACTGTCCTTGTGATACTCAACTGCATTCTCTGCTTACTTGGGTTTTTTTTGTTTGTTTGTTTGTTTTTTGTTTTTTGTTTTTTGTTTTTTTCCCAAAAAGACTCTTAGTCATTTAAAATTTTCATTTCAAAAGAAGCCCCTTATTTAAGTCCCGGCACCACTACCAAACCCTTCCAACTATCCCCTGCAACTTCCCCAGTCTCTTTCAGGCCTGGCTACTGAGTTCCGTCTAGCTTGGCTGCCCTCCAGATTCCTCTCTTCTTTTCTTGTCAGTCGTAAAAACTTGGAAAACGGTCCTGGACAGCTCAGGGAGAGCGTTTAATTATGCAATGGAGCAGTACCTTAGCCTCACCGTTGTTTCCAGAAAAAGCCTGCAGTCCCCAGCGCATGAACGCTCCCAATCAGGGGGTTTTCTAGCAAGGCTATTTGTTTTATGAGGAGGGAGGAGGGAAAGACTGGCAGAGCAAGCAAGCAAGCGATTTGCTGAAAAAAATCCAATTCCTTTCAGGGTCTTTCCCCTCTCACCATTCACTCTGCCTTCCAATCTGTGCTCTTTTACGACCTATTCACCCGTATGGGCTACCTAACACCATCTGCAAGTCCTAGAACTAATAGGGTAGCTAGAACTGGAAAGTCTAGAAAGTTTTCATTCTTAAATGTTGGTGCAGCAGTTTTAAAAGTGGACACAAAACAAATTTATTAAATCTTCCTGTTTGATATTATGTTGTCAAACTTAAAAATTGAAATAATTCACGTAAATGTCTATTTGCAAACGAAGACAGGCTCCATCGAAAAAGACTAAAGACGACTGAAGGGGAGGAGGATGGATACCTGACCCTCAGCTCAGACTTGGGGAGTTTCCCCAACACCAGCTGTATCTTCCTCACTCTACCTTGGCACGCTGTTTCTAGCTCAAGAGCCCGGCTTCCTGTTCAAGTCCCATTCAACACTGTAAACACATTCCAAGAAAACTAGACTGCCGAGAGTTCCCTCCCGCAAACAGGGAAGTCAGCCCAGCCACCCCAGAATAGAAAACCAGCTGGGCTGTCTTCTGAGAGAGGTTGAGAGCGGGGCCACCACCAGGAGATGGACCCAGGCAAGCAAGGTTGGTAAGCCGGGTCCCACTAACGCAACGCCCGCAGAAGCAGAGATCTGACCCGCCCAGCCAAAGGGCAGCCGCGTGGACACCGCCCCAGTGGGGGTCCTACCCATGTAGAGCTTTAAAGTATCTGCGGACCGGTCGCGAGCTTCTTGCTTCCCCGCCCCCTGCCCACATTTTCCCAACGACCCAAACAAAAGAGAGAGCGGGCTGGAGGAAGTTGGCTCTCGGTCGCCTAGTTGACCCAGCGGTGAATCCGCTTGCTGGGCAGCATCTGCTCCACGCACCCGCAGAGGGATGGTCCAGCGTCCCCGCCGCTCGCTCCCTGCCCCTGCACTCCGCGCCGCACCCCGGCTGAGTTCCTCCGAGGGGAGAAGGGGGGATGCGGCGGGAAGGCGCTGCTATGGGGACCTTCGGCGCCCCCATCTTCCTCCCGCACTGCCCCTGCCTGCAGCAACAGGTCCCAGCCTCTTTCCTCGCCAGCCGACTGACTCCGTGATGTGTGCAACCTGCTGGCAACCGCAGCCCCGCACCCTCCTCCCCCTACCCGGTGACCGCGCCCGCCTCCGGGGGTCTGTTCCAGGTTCCGCGCCACCTGGTCGGAGCCGGCCGGGCCGGGGACGCCCGGCTTCCTACCGTGGCTCGCAGAGGGATGCGGCCGCTCGGCTGGGATAGGCACTGGAGCTCCGGGGACCGTGGCCCAGAATCGCGCGTTGGTGGAGGGCAGGGAAACTTTGTGGAGGTTCGCACAGCTCTGGACTCGGGACCCTCAGGCTCGGATCCCCTCCCTCCTCTTCCTCCTCCTAATCTGCGGAAGCCTAAACTGGCGCTGGCGACGGCCCGGGCTGGGTCAGGACTCCCAGTTGCTGGGGCTGGGATCCCCGGGCTCCCCCTCTCGGCCAGAAGAAAACTCTGACTCGGAGTGCGCACTTCGACCGGTCTCCTGGGGACGGTGGTGGGGTTTTCTGCAGCGGCGCGCAACTGTCCCACTTTTAAAGGCAGATCTGGAGGGGCTAGGGGGTGCAGAGAGAGAGAAAACGAGTCCCCAGGAGGAGCTGTCCCTGCCCAGTCTTATTCCGGACAGAGTGAAAACGCAGGCCCCGCCCCACTCCTACAGTGCCGCGTTTCCTTTCAAACCTCCTCCCAAAGATGCTATTTCTTAAGAATTTAAAACACCTTTGCGGTTTAACAAGGGGGGAAATGCCACAGGAAGGGCATGAATAAATAAATAAGGCGTGCTCTCCCCTAGCCTCAATCGTGAAACACTGTCACGGCTGCGCGGAATTGACTTTTTTTCTTGTTTTCTCTTTTAAACTCAGCCTGAATCTTTGCACCTTAGCCTCCACCCCAACTCCCCACCCCCAAGAAAAAAGAAACAGGAAAATTTCTTCAACCGCCACATTCTGTTTATTTGCAGCCTTCCTATGCTTACCTCAGAATTGAGAACTTCTGTGTGGGGTTAGAAGGCTAACACAGAAAACCATCTTTTAATGAGCCTGGTAAACCTCTGAGTGGGAAAAGAATAAAAACGCGTTCTCATGGGAAGGAGTCTTGGAGGATGAGAGGACCTCTAAGAAAGTTTCTGAAGATAATCCTTAAAATAGGGCTGACTCAATTTTAGTTTGGATATCAAAATAGAGGAGAAAGGGACAAGGCATTGTACAAGATTAGCGTGCGTATAATATTGGTGTAGTCCAAGCCAAGGCTAAGAGGCAGGCAGACAGACCTGAACCCACACCAGGCCCCATCCTTAACTCTTTCTGTTTCCCCGGACACTCTCTTCTCATTTACAACAGTAGAGTGAACAGGAGTTTAAATGGACTCCTGTTAGAAAAGGAAGAAAGCAAAATTTGGGTTCTTAAATAACCCATCACTTTTGCTGAAATTTGAAGAGATGGAGAAACGGTAGTGAAAATTCCTCTCCAAAGATCTTGTATCTGCTTGGGTCTTTCTAATCCTTGTTCCATTAGAAAGATGCAGCCTCCCAATATTTCCAATGGGAACCGTTTTGAGATCATAATATTCTAATCAGACTCCCTTGTTTTAAACACAAAGTAATGGAAGTCCAGGGGTATTGGGTGAATTTCCTGACACCATGTTTAGATCTTTTGAATTTGGCTCATGGTTTGGGTTTTGGTTTTTGGTTTGGCTTGCTTTGCTTTGCTTTCTCCTTTATCAAAACAAATAAGCATACATTAAAATTATTTTAAGGAGAGGTCAAGATGTAGCTCATTTTAGAGCTCATGCTACTGCTTGTCTAGCATGAACCGTACAAAAATAGGCATGGTGACACACACTCATGTAATCCCAGCTAGTAAGGAAAGCCAGTTAGTAAGGAAAGCCAAGTTCACGGTCATCCTCAGCTATAGAGCCAGTTTAAGGAAAGATTGGGATACATGGAACCCTGACTCAAAAAGAAAGAAAGAAAAAGGAAGAAAGAAAAGTACAATAACGCTTACCTAAAGACAACACTAGCTGTTTTTTCTGTAAATAACCTTAAATAATTCATGAAGAATTACTGATAAATAAGCAATACCATTTGCATGATCACTTTGTTAATATGATTAGAAACTATCACTTAATAATAAGGAAGTTATCAATTTAATCCATTTTATACCTTCAAATATGTGGAATATTTTAATGCAATGGTAAACGATTCTAGATAGAATTCTAGACTCCCCAAAATACATTAGTTAGAGAAACATTAGATCATTTTCAATAAACAGTTCTTAAGTACAGGACCAAAGAAAGATTCTGGCTACAGAGATTAACCATCATAAGCCCAGTCTACTCACTACTGGGGAGTCCTAGCAAGTCCTTTTAGCTGTTCATTTGCCTCTACTAGCTTCCTACATTTAACCCCTTTCTCACCAAACTCCATGTTGAGACTTCCCTGTCTTCACAGAGATAACGCCAGGGTTCCTGGAGCTTCAAACCAATACTCTCCCCACCCTTTTTTTTTTTTTTTTTTTTTTTTTGAGTCCCCTTGCTAACCTCCTCCTCAGTCCCTGGCTAAAGCCATCATTTCTTCTACCTTTAGACCTTTTAGACTTATGACAGGTAGAAGTTACGAAACAGAAAACAAATTGTGACTACAGAGTGTATTCACCATGGGATGGATGAATGAAAATGTATGACATCTCCACAGCTGTGTCTTTCCAACCATCGTATATACTGCTCAGGACTGTTTAACATTTGTAGTTTCTCAAAACACTTTAAGTCTCTAAACTAGTGACTGCTTAGTTATTTTTACATTCTATCTTTCAGTGTGAACCTCTTTATGAAATGGCTTGGAGGTATGAAAATTAAGAAGAAAAATGTCAAGAAAAAGGTTGTAAAAAACCGAGCAGGGCAAAACCACTAGACAGTGCCCAGTTCTACCCATGGAATAGTTCTATTTGAAAGTTCTATTTATCATGTTAAATATAGATAGTCATTTTTTTTTTTTTTTAATGAGCAACTTTCTTAGATTTTAAAATCAATGGTCCTGCTCAGGTCAGTTTTTAAATTCTCTTATTTGAATAAGACAACGTTGACTGATTCTTACTACTGCTGGAGATGATGTCACACCCCTGTAGTTTCAGGAAGATGATTCCTCATTATTCCACTTTGACAGGATTTAACAGCCACCTTGACACAAACTTCTGGATGTGTCTGTAAGGGACTTTCTAAAGATTTTTCACTGAGGAGTGAAGATTCGCCCTGAATCCACTCCATTCCAGGAGCACCACATTCCCTGCAAAGAGAAACACTGAGAAAGTGAGCCAACCGCCAGCTGGCTAATCCCTCTCTGCTTCCTGCTTCCAGGTGAGCAGACAACTGGCCACCCTGCTGCAGAGAGAGCGGCACACCACTTCCATGATGGCCTGCAGAAGTGGGACCAAAAAGAACTCAAGTTGCTCTTGTTAGGTGTTCTGTAAAAATAATGAGAAAATAACTAATGGAGTAAGTTTACAGCCAGCCTATGGTACACAAGGAGATCATGCCTAAAAATAAAAGGAAGGAATGAAGGAAGAAAAAAAAAAGAAAAGAAAACATTAAGTTGAATGTTACTTGTTATTTTTAATAAACAAATACTATTTTACAATTAAACACAAAATGCTGATTATTTAGCTCTATATTCCTGTAAATGCATCATATAAAGTAGCTGATAATTTTCTGAAAGGAAATAAACACCAAGAAGGAACTGAAATCTCAGACTCAGTCTCAGTTGAAAAAATATGTCTTAAGCACAGCAATTGACAAATACCCTTTTGATTCCTAGGGACACTTCGATTCTAGCGTTACCATGTATTTATTTTGCTGATGTCTGTCACTTAAACATACATTCTAAAGGAACTAATTTACTCTGGTCTTCCTGATGAAGAAGATGAAACACATATTGTATAAGACTAACTAATCAGAGCATGTGTGAAAGAGGAAATAAGTACCATCTATGTTCTCAAGAATGCCCTTTACCAATGCTTGCTCCACACTCCCAGGGCTTTCCTGAGTTCTCTGAGATACGCCAATATATATTACCCCCTGAATGTAGTGTTCTATGGTTTCTTCTCTATCTTTTTTTTTATTATGTTTACAAAGAATTTCATCAAAATTAATTACACACACATATCCTTTTCACCTAAGTATTAAGTTTTGTCATCTGCCCCACAAAAAAAAAAAAAAAAAAAAACAAACAAACAATTGATCATTATCAATCATCTCATCCTTTAATCATTTAAAATATCTATTGTATCAAGTTGAAGAGGAATTTTAATCCAGCAACCAGAAACAAGGCTGTTCTTATCACATCAAAGACCTTCCTAAATCTGTGTGATCTGGTTGGAATGCAGACACACCTTTAATCCCAAATAATGAGGTAAAGTTTGTTTGTAGAAGAAAGCACCCATGTTTGAAAGTGATGTCTAATTAAGAGGCAAAGATAATGATGAATCAGAGAAAGATTTGACAGAATAGGATATTCCCAACTCTCACAGAGGAGAAAAGAGAAAGACAGAGAAGTTTCGGAGAGAGAACAAACCAGACACAGGTGAAGACAGAATGAGCCAGAGAATGTGAAGGAACCACAAGTTTAGAACTGATTGATAGAGTTAGTTTGAAGCCAGGGAAAGCAATTCAGTGAAAAACTGAGACAAGTCAGATTGTATCAGTCTTGGAGAGGAGTTTGAGCCCGAAAAGCTGAGTTGAACCAGCCAGACAGAGTTCAGAAAGAACTAGAAAGGGTAAGTTTATTCAGCAGTAAGCCTCCAAGGCTGAAGTTATTCTAGGCCTGAATAAGATTGCATGGAGGCTAGAAGCTTCTAGGATTAGGCCTAGGTTAGCAGAAAGAGGCAATAAGCCTCAGAAACTACAACTACATCTGGTGAATAAAAGATAGTTTTACATTCTCGTCCATTATTTATTCTTCCATTCAAAATTTCATCATATTCTTTTCAGCCTGTATTTCCAGTTGATCTTTGAGATCATTCTCTTATCACATTTTTTTTCTTTTTACCTTTGATCCTCCTTCCACTCTTCTATTTAATACAATTCTGTTAGGCTTGTATTATTCTTACATTTCACTTGAAATGTATATTTCGTTATTTAAGTTTTCTTTTGACCCTGGAACAGGATGCTTTTCCATTCTGAACAGACTTGACTTCTGCACCCAGTCTTGTTTTCCTCACATCTGTGAAGCAATCCAGAAACCACAGGTCTAGACAACCTTTATGATTCAGTTCAGTACACGAGCATTCTAGACCAGAGTAAGAGAGTATCTTTTTGTGAAATCCAACCACCTAAATTCCTCATCTGAAAAGGCATGGCTTTATGATGAGGATTGGTGTCCTAAGACTACATTCTTGCCATAATGACAACAGGGTTAGAAAGTTTCCTCCAAGCAGTTTTA